ATATAAAAGTAACAATAATGATGATTTATCATATTAGCTAATACCAGCTTTAATCCTCATAAAACTTACAAAATATGTATCAGCTCTATTTTTCAGGTAGGAAAACTAATCCTATTCTAAATACTTTCCACCCTGTCTTGCTTCTTTCAGATCTAATTAATTTAGTCAGTTAGGTAATAATTCAACCATAAGTAAGTAAGTAAAGACCCAGAGTCCCAGAATGAGACAGACATTATATGATACCTGAATTGACCTCTTGCTAATAGTCCAGGGAAGAAGAGCTCCAAGAATAGAAAGTGGAGAAATGAAAATAACTAGTCTATATTTAACTATGTCAAATGTCCAAATCAACCAACATTAGGACCTGCCTAACTTTGGGCTCCCTGCCATATTAAAGTAAATGTCATTATTTGGTTGTTTAGTTTTTAGCTTTGGGTACTAGTAACCAAAGCATCCTGACACTTTGTGGTTTTTCATTATAGAATGTTGTATCTTGTACAAAATAATGGATGTTTAAAACATAAAACGGATTAGTTTTATGACATTTTTGTGATAGTTCACGTTTCTAGGGTCTTCTACTTTAACAAATACATTCCTCTGACACTTTGATTATTTTTTTCCTCCCATTCTTCTAAAACTTTATCCTAAAGCCTGGTTTTCTTTTTTCATAGTCGTTCTTTCAGTGATCTCATATTCCTTAGTTCAACCATTCACTTCATGTACGTGGCTTCATTTTTTTTTCAGTTTCACAGTTCTTGTCACCAATTCTATGTTTTTAGCTGCCTGTAGGTTATCTTCTTTTGCAGTTTATAACTTCAGGGTTAACAGGGACAAGCACTGGATCCTTTACTCTCCCATCCACTCTACCCCTGAAAATAAGATTTATACAGATCTCTTTTCAAAGAAAGCCATCTTGCTGCCTGTGAAGGTGAATCATCACTGGTACATTGAAACTTCATTTGAGGAAATGCATCATATGCTGCCTTTTATTATTTGAAAGAATATAAGTGAAGAACTTTTTTGAGAATAGTACAGCCTGTGACTGAGACTTAATGATTTGGACTTTTTGACTTTCTTAAGAGTCTGTCTCAGAACATTTTCCATCTCTTGTTTCATGTAGTCTTAAGTACATTTTTCATCTCTTTCATCAGTGAAGCAGACTTTCCATTTCCTTTTCATGATTCTCTTGTTCACATTTCATGGTCCTTTTTCTTTTTTTCTAGCACCACCTAGACACTCTGAAATCAACTCTGACGCATCTTTTTTCTTCATTCTCTTTGTCCAATTGATTGCATCTTCCTTTAGAAGGTCTCTTATTCTTTCATCCTCCATTTTTCAGTAATATAGACACTCATTCTCTCATGCTTGGATCCGTATACTAGCCTTCTAGCCAGTGTTCTTTCCTCCAGTTTCTGTTTACTCGTTCTTTGCCAGACTGACTTTATTAAGATACTGGTTTAATATATCACTTCTGTGTGCCTGACACACAGTAGGTACTTAGTATATGTAGAAAGAATGATAGATTGAATAGTTCTCTTTTTGCCTACCAAATTGAGTCCTAGACTTCTTTAGTTGGCTTTCCAGAGTGTCCATGGTCTGGCCTGTTCTGCATATTCAACGTTATTTGCTACCACTTTCTAACAAGTGTCTTCCATTCTGTGTTAGCCAAAATCTTTGTTGCCAGTAGCACGATTCTTAGTTCTTCTTGTCTTTTTGCTTTTGCTTTCCTGCACATCCCCGTCCCACACCTGAAATGAATTGCCTTCTCTCAATTGACTTGTATTAAACAGGGTCAGGCCAGGAAACAGATGGCACATTGGAATGAATACTTGAGAAAAGTTTAATAAAGAAGCTGTTTATGTTTTGTGGACAAAGGTCAGGGAAACCAGCAAGAGTTGGTGACACACCTCACAGATAAGAGTAGTGGGGGAATAGTGACCTGTATTACAAGGGGCCCGCCCTCCAAAAAATTCCAGGTTTTTTGGGGTCCCCCTTTGTATTAGCACCAATCATATCTTATTAATTCTGTTTCCCTGAAACAGAATATTTCATGTTTCCGTGCCTTTGTATATGTAAAACCTTTTGCCTGGAATATCTACCCCCTTTTTCCCTCTTTGCAAATTTATCTTTAAAGGTTCAGTTCAAATATCACTTTTCTGTATTATACCTTCCTGGTGCCCTCAGGCAGTGTCCTTTTTTATATTTATTTTTTTCTCTTTTAATTTATTTTATTATTTATTTTGTTATAAAGATGTGTGGTACAAGTGAGGGTTAGCTACATTAGTAGGCTGCACGCAGGTGAAGTTTGGGCTTCCACCTGGCCCTCCTCACTCCCTCTGGTAGTGGACCTGGTGCCCTTTGTGTTGACAGGTGTCCCTTAACCCCCTCCCGCCCTCTCTCCCCTAGTAGTGCTCAGCTCAGTGTCAATTCCTCTCTGGTGCTCATGTGACTATTGTTCAGGACCCACTTAGGAGTGAGAACATGCAGCATTCAGTTCATTGTTGCTGTGATAGATCACTTAGTATTATGGTCTCCACCTCCATCCAATTTGCTGCAGACTTCATGATTTTGTTCTTTATGACTGCATAATACTTCATTGTGTATATATATACCACATTTTCTTTATCCAGTCAACTTTCAATGAACAGTAGGATTGGTTTCATGTTTTTGCAATTGTGAATAGTGCAGCAGTGAACATGTGTATGCAGGTGTGTTTCTTTGTAGAACAATTTATGTTCCTCTGGGAATATTTCCAGGAGAGGGACTGCTAGGTCATATGGAAGGTGAATTTCGAGTTCTTTTAGGAATTGCCACACTGCTTTCCATAGAGGTCGAACTAGCTTGCACTCTTCCAGCAATGTAAAAGCGTTCCCTTTTCTCTACACCCGCACCAGCTTCTGTTGTTTTTTGACTTATTAATGATGGCCATCCTTACTGGAGTTAGGTGGTATCTCATTGTAGTTTTGATTTGCATTTCTCTGATGATTAGTGGGACTGAGCATTTTTCCATGTCTGTTGGCTGCTTGTATGTCATCTTTGGAGAAGTGTGTATTCATATCCTTTTCCTACTTTTTAGTGGGTTTGTTTGTTTTTTTCCCTTTCACTTCATCTGAGTTCCTTGTAGATACTGGATTTTTTTTTGAGTTGGAGTCTCACTCTGTCGCCCAGGCTGGAATGCAGTGGCATGCTGCTCATGGCCACCCCAGTGTCGACTGCTGGGCTCAGGTGATCCTTCCGCCTCAGCCTTCCAAGTAGCTAGAACTACAGGCATGAACTACCATGCCTGGCTAATTTTTTGATTTATTGTAGAGATGAGGTCTTGCCAAGTTGCCCAGGCTGTTCTTGAACCCATGGGCTCATGCAGTCTCTTCACCTTGGCCTCCCAAAGTGCTGGGATTACAGGCTTAAGCTACCACTTCTGTCTGGTCTGATCCTGGAATGTTAGGCTTTTGTTTGACGCATAATTTGCAAATGTTTTTTCCCATTCTGTGGGTTGTCTCTTTACCTGCATGATGGTTTCTTCAGCTGTGCAAAAGCTTTTCAGTTTGATGAGGTCCCACTTGTCTATCTTATAGCTTTTTTGATGATTGCTTTTGGAAACTTGGTCAAGAATTTGTTGCCTACTCTGATGTGCATGAGGGTATTTCCTACGTTTTTTTCTAGGATTGTTACAGTGTGAGGTTTTATGTTTAGGTTTTTGACCCATTTAGATTTGATTTTTGTATTTGGTGATAGGCAGGAGTTCATTTTCATTTTTCTGCATGTGATCAGCCAGTTTTCCCTTTGTTGAATATAGTCTCCTTCCCCCAGTGTTTGCTGTTGGTGGCTTCGTCAAAGGATGAGTTGATTGAGAGACCACATTTTTTTGCTTCCAAAATCTCTGTCCTGTTTCATTTGTCTGTGTGCCAATTCTTGTACCAATACCAGGCTGTTTTAGTTAACTGTAGCCTTGTAATAGAGTTTAAAATCTGGAAGGGTGAATCCTACTTTGTTTCTTTTACTGAGGACTGTTTTGGCTATTTGTACTCTTTTTTGTTTCCATATGAATTTCTGTATTGTCATTTTCAGTTCTGAGAAAAATGATGTTGGTGATTTGATGGGTATTGTATCAAATCTGTAGAATTTCCCTGAGTAGGATAGACATCTTGACAATATTGATTCTTCCAATCCATGAGCAAGGAATATTCTTCCATTTGTTTTTGTCATCTTTGATTTCTTTCCCTTTTTATGTTTCTTAACACATTCCTGTAATATAGCACTCATCACATAAATTTTTCTTATTAGATACTAATAAAAGTGGGAATTGAAAATCCTTTATCATCTTTTTATCTCAGAAGATGTTTGTTGAATAAGTAATGAGTAAAAATACCCTACTTTTTGTTGATTAGTTCACTTAGTTAGTATACTCTTTTTAAGATCCAAGGTCATGCATTCTATCTTTGTGTGATTGGCTTTGCCTAATCCATAGCCATAGATTATGGTCCCACCTTGGCTAATCTTGCAAGGGAACTAGGGGAAACAAAACTTGATGGATCAGTAATGTTATTTTGATATATGGAATATAGCAAATTAAGAGTATGGTGGCTCACACCTATAATCCCAGCACTTTTGGAGGCTGAGGTGGAAGAATCACTTGAGATCATGAGTTTGAGACCAGTCTGATCAACAGAGCAAGACCTTGTCTCTACAAAAAAATAGAAATATTAGATGAGTGTGGTGACACATGCCTGTAGTCCTAGCAATTTTGGGAGACTGAGATAGGAGGATCACTTGAGCCCAAGAGTTTGAGGCTGCAGTGAGCCGTGATGGTGCCATATACTCTAGCCTGGGTGACAGAGTGAGAACTTGTCTCAAAAAATGTATATATATAAAAAAATATATATATCAAATTGTAATTATGGGTTTAAAGATGAACTTTGAAACTGTCAGGGAAGTACCTTATTTTGGTGAAATATGTATATTGAATTTTATGTTTGATCTTTTTTTTTTTTAACGTTAAGGAACTAAAAAAAGTATCCTCAGACTTGGTGAAGTCCAAGGTCACATATCAATATAAGATGGGAGAAGAAAACATCAATCTAACAATTAAAGAACAAAAATTTCAAGAACTTCAAGAAAGACTCAGCATGGTATTTGATTAAATATATTCCAGTTCATAAGATTAATATTTTTAATAACATGAGAATTTCAATATTATAATACAAAATTATTCCTTCTTTGCAAAGTAAATATATGTATTTTAAAAAGGTATTATGAAGCTTTTTTTATTAGATAATTTTGCCATTAGCAAGACTTTAGGACAATAAAATTTTACTATAATCATTCTACTTTAATATGGTTTTAGGTAATCTTATGATACAATGGTATCTCCAGAACAGCTTTGGAGATGAGAAATTCTGTAGTTTTTTTTTTAAATTTGCAAGTTTGCACCAGTCTGTATTGGGAATATATTACCTTCTTCAGTTTACTGAAGTCACTGTTTCAACCATAAACAAATGTAGGTACTCTGGGGACAATAGTTGTTCATAACACTCCCAAATTTGTTGAGCACTGAATTGAATGTAGAATTTGTTTAATTTTTATACTGTGACTTTAAAATGACTCAAATTTTAAAGGAATTGGAATTAAATAAGAAGATTAATGAAGAGATTACCCATAATCAAAAAGAAAAACAGGTAAGCAGTCCTAAATAAGATATTTTGGAAGCCAGTAGATATTTTAAAAATCAGATATAATGTGCGAAATAAACAAGTTAAAAATGGAAGAATCACCTGAACCCAGCTTCACCTGAAGCTGCACAGTGAGCCTTGATTGTGCCCCTCACACCAGCATGTGTAACACAGTGAGACCGTGGCTCAAAAAAAAAAAACCAAGTTAAATAACAAGTGGAATCATGCCAAGGTCAGTGCATACAGCACATAGTAAGCAATGTGTATTGAATAGATATGTATACTTTTCTAACCAGTTTTACATATACGTCCATGAAAAAATAAATTAGTTTTTTCCTTGACAGTCTAGACCGGTGGTTCCCTAGTATTTACTTGGGCTTTTTCAGGACATTATACTCCTTTTAAAAAATGTGTTCCTCTTTATTTTGTTTTAAAGATTGTGGGGTATAAGTCAGGATTAGGCACATAAGTGGCCTCCCACTGGTCCTTGGAACATTATACTCTTATTTGACTCTATTTGGTATATAAACTTTTCCTATTTTAAAAAAGGTGTATGAAAGAAAATTCCTTCTGTTTCTTTTATTTCCCTACTTTTCCTACATTTGATTCTAAATGCATGTCATAACATCCTAGCCCATTATGACATTTTATATTATAGTTCATATTACATTTTAGTAGCGATATATTTAGTATTTGAGGGGGCAGGCCAACAAATGTTTATTGTGGTTTTGAATTCTTCACATTTTCAATAGTGTTTTAGAATCCACAGTCCGTTTCAAAAAACTTTGTTAATTAGTTGAAGAATTCTTAGAAATAGTGCTTTGTAGGAAATAATGTAATAAAAGTGAATTCACTTTATTATTTTTATTATTTTTTTTTCACAGAGGACTTCTGAGAGAAGAACCTTATCCAGATCACTAATTCACTTTAAACAATTATTTTAAATATTGTAAGATATGCCATTAGTTTAATATAAAATATCAAAATTAAACTATAAATATAATGGATTAAGAAACTAGAAAATGTATTTAAAGAATGAGCTTAGAAGCATATTTACTATCTTAATATTTTTAAATTGACATCATGTATTTATGTATTTTTAAAGGAGATCATCGTTTCTTTCCAACATATCCAGCAGTTATTTCAGCAACAAATTCAAGCTAATGCTGAATTGGAGTCAGAACTGAAGATGCTAAAAGAAAATAATCAGGTTCCATATATACCTTTTAGTATATTTCCACCTATGAGCTTTCCCTGTGTAGTTGTAGTCCTCTTTCTAGTTTTAATGAGATCATTTTAAATTCTAGGGGTAAGATACTGACCTCCTTCATCAACTTGTTTTCCGTGTCTAAAATGATGAACATATATTTTTCAGTATTTAAGACACCAATTAATATGTTAAATTTTATCAAGTATCTGACCTCATTTTGTAACAGAGTGAATGGGAATTTTTTTCCCTGACTTAGAATTGTGGCCAAGATCCAACACTGAAAATAGAAAGTAAAACGTCAGCCGCATTTTAAGAGAGCAGTCAGCCAATTCTAAGAAGTTTGGGGTAGACCCCTCTTTTTAAGAATATGATAATGCCGGGCTCGGTGGCTCAGCCTGTAATCCCGCGCCTTTGGGAAGCTGAGGTGAGTGGATTGCCTGAGCCGGCGGGTTCGAGACCCGCCTGGGCAGCGAGACCTCATCTCTACAATAAATAAAAAAATCAGCCGCGCGTGGTAGCGCATGCCTGTAGTTCCGGCTATTCGGAAGGCTGAGGTGGAAGGATCACTGGAGCCCAACAGGTGGAGGCTGCGGTGGCCGAGAGCGGCCACTGCACTCCAGTCTGGGTGACAGAGTGAGACTCCAACTCAAAAAAAAAAAAAAATGATAAAATTGGCACTGTTACCATAATAATCACCTCATCATCCTCTTTCTGGCACATATAAGAAAATGATTGGAGAGAGGAAGATGGTATGATTATTGATATTTTGGGAGTGCAGGGTTCAAAAAGAGAGGCTTGGCTGGGCACGGTGTCTCACACATATAATCCCAGCACTTTGGGAGGCTGAGGTGAGAGGATTGCCTGAGCCCATGGGTTCAAGACCAGCCCAGACAACTTGATGAGACCTCATCTCTACAATAAATCAGAAAATTAGGTGGCCATGGTGGCACATGCCTGTATTTCTAGCTACTTGGAAGGCTGTGATGGAAGGATCACTTGAGCCCAGCAGGTCAAGGCTGCATTGGCCATGAGCTCATCTGAGCCCAGCAGGTTGAGGCTGCATGAGTGTGCCACTGCATTCCTGCCTGGGCTGTGAGTGTGCCACTGCACTCCAGCCTGAGCAACAGAGTGAGACTCCCACTCAAAAAAAAAAGGAGACTTTTCTGTTACATCTCTAGTGGAGGGAGATTCTCTTGTAGGAATTGGGGTACAAGAAGGGGAGATTGCCATCTTATTCCTTAGATGGATACTTGAGATGCTGTAGAAAGCTGAAGGTTCACTCTTGTGCTGCCAGTAGAGTAAAACACAAGTTCATGTGGAAGAGGCTGGAAAATGTTTCTCAAAGTTTATCAAGAATATGTCAGCTGATGCCAGTTTTGGTCTAGAAGTTTCCAAAAGGAAAGTTTTGGGAGTAATCTGTGCTAGTAAGCTTAGAGTATAGTATGCTTAAAGAACCTTGATGGTTCTTTGACTCCACATGAAGTAACATAGAGGTCAGTGAACTGCCCTGGGTGCCATTGGGCCAAGTGATGGGATGTCCTCTCAGATAAGGAGTTGAGGGCATATTCCACAGGGGTGGCCAGTAGATCTTTCTGCCCCTCTAAAGGGGTTCTTAGTAGCAAAGGAGACAGGGTGAAGCTGAACATGTTCCATGAAAACTACAGTCACCTCCCCTGTGTAGGCGATCATTAGTAGAGGCCAGGGCCAGCTCTATGAGTATATGACCAGTGCAGTTGTGTCACACTCTCAGAATGGCCCCCTGCTTCATGTTTAATGTTTCATGGTCACTGTCTTGAAGTTTTGATTAATTTTCATCTTGAATTTACGTTCTTGTCTATTAAGTCTGATGGGACAATGCAGCATGCACCGAGGGTCTGGTACCTCAGCTCGGGCACTGTCTTGTCTCCACTACTTCCCAGGACTGGTTCTTGACTGCTGGCTCTTGCACTTGCTGGTGCCTTGAGCCCTTCTTTGCCTCTTCCTCCCTGTTCCTGTCCTGCCACTGCTGCAGGTCAACTGGGTTACATTTGCAGGAAAAAGCCTGTGTTCTCCTGTTGACCTTTATTCTTTGCAGGGGGCCTGGGCACAGGCAAGGAAGGTCTTGGTTGGGTGCACGTGCCTGACAGCATTTTGGGGTGAGGCATGGCAACAGTTGTCCTTGCTTCAGGTTGACAGTGCCTTGGAATGTTAGGCAGGTGACTTGGTGGCGTGCAGAGGGAGGTGTTAGTCCCCAGTCCAGGTCCAGAGTACATCCTTCCTGGCAGTTGCAGTACCTTGAGAGTCACCCATCTGCTATGGGTTGGGATGAAGGGCCCATGGGAAGAGAAGATGAACTTCCACACTGCTGGCCAGGACATGGTAGATGGGTCTAGCAACCAGCAGGAAGGGAATCTGATAGCTGGTGGAGCTCACTCATGGTGAGTTGTGTGATGAGGCCCTTAGGCACCTATGAGGATCTGCATTTGCCTGTGAGTATCCCTCAGCCAGGTGATCATGACATTAAATAGAAAATAAAAAGCACCATGAAAGGTTGAGAGGGACTGCATAGAAAGGAAAAAAGTTGTTTTATTTTAGTATTTTTTTTTTTTTTTGAGTTGGAGTCTCACTCTATCGCCCAGACTGGAGTGCAGTGGCCACTCCTGGCCACCGCAGCCTCGACCTCCTGGGCTCTGGCGATTCTTCCGCCTCAGCTTTCCAAGTAGTTGGAATTACAGGCGTGCACTACCACGCCCAGCTGATTTTTTGATTTATTGTAGAGATGAGGTCTCACCAAGTTGCCCAGGTGGGTCTTGAACCCTGGGGCTCAGGCAATCCACTCACCTCAGCCCCCCAAGGCACGGGATTACAGGCTGAGCCACCGAGCCCAGCTTATTTTAGTACCTTTAATAGCACTTTTTTCCTGGTTTTACATTTTGTACCAGGTCCTCCAAATTATGCAGTCTATCATCATTGAATGGAAGCAAATTTAACCTGACCTGAGCAATACAAGATTTAACTCCATACAATTGATGTATTCTGTAGCTTGTTGTGTAAAGAGAGTTTTGCTTTCCTTATTTCTCTTGCCTGCCCCCAATACTATAGAAGAGGGAGAGAGAGCAGTATCCTAGAGTTAGAACTCTCCCTTCCTCTTATCTCATCACCTATTCCAATCAAAGACTAGTAAAAAATAATTCTTCTGAAAGTCCAGTTATATAAGCATCCAGGGCAGTTCCCATCTCCCCTATCCACCCTATAGTTGGATAACTTGGACTGTTTCTCTAATATATTGATCTATTTCCCAAGAAATAAATGATATAATTTAACCAGTTCTTTATGAGTAGCTGTTACCAAGAACATCTCCTAATCCACATAAAGGAGTTGAAAAATAGATTTTGGCTGGGCTCAGTGGATCAGTCTGTATTCCCAGCACTTTGGGAGGCCGAGGCAAGTGGATTGCTTGAGCCCATGGGTTCAAGACCAGCCCAGACAACTTGATGAGTCCTCGTCTCTACAATTAAAAAAAAAAAATTAGCCAGGCATGGTAGTGTGTGCCTGTGGGGGGAGGGGGGTAGATTTTTAGGGTGAACAAAAAAATTTTTTTTCTTCAAGGCCTCTTTGTTAGATCACACTCTCAACAGGGCCTCCAGAATGTTAGGTCAGACTTGCCAGGGGTGTGGCTGTCTGGTGTGATCTGGTGCCATGTGAAAGATGCAAAGAATTGCACAGAAGTTAGATTAGAAAATATAGTTTATTTTAAAAATAAATGGGGGGGAGGGGGTAGGGGGGAGAGAGAGAGATATGATTTATCTCTCCAAGAGAGGGGAGGGGCCAAAGCCAAGAAACATGGTGATGGCCATAGCTTAAAGAGCACATGACCCCACCAGAGTCCAGTAAGGCAATGGCTGGTGAACAGAATATTAAAGGTTAGCTAATCCAACCATATGATTTTATTATAAAATGTAAGTAGCATAGTTCATTGCCTCATAATTAAGTGGCAAAACCAGGATTAAATCTTTGTCCTAATTCTAATACAGTACTGTTTCTACAGTATTATACTGTTAAGATGTTTTCCCTATCACTTGAGCCCAGGAGTTTGAGGCTATGGTGAGCTGTGATTGTGCCACTGCACTCCAGTCTGGGCGACAGAGACCCAGACTCCAAAAATAAATAACTAAATACAGAGGGTACCAAAAAAAAGTATACACATTTTAAGAAAGGAAAAAACTGTCAAAATTGTAATACTCAATGTATACCAACACCAAAAGATGAATACCAGTCATGCTTGACTTCTGCAATTACAAAAGGTGCTCAAAGTGGTTGCCATAATGTCCAGACACTTCTGATTATGGTGAACTAAAAACAATACATAGATAATATCTCTTAAAATGTGTATACTTTTTTTTAGTACCCATGGTATGTGTATTTTCCCTATATCTACAAAAGCTGCCAATTTTGTTAGATCCATTATACTACTAAGATCACAACTCTTAGATTGTCCCTGTATGAGCTCTACCTCCGATACTTACATATTGTTGAATTCTGTGAGCCCACATTAGTTGTAAATACATAGTTATGTGTTTCTTTGAGTTAATGGTGACTATAAATATGATGTAAATATCTTTTAACTATGACTACCAATATCTTAGATAATCCAAATGCCTCTCTCTTTTTTCTCCAAATGCCTTTCTCTTTAACTATCACAATTATTACTTGAGCCTTGATAGTACATAGAGAAACTTGATTTCGTATACTAAAATTTTAAGCAAAGAGTTGTCAAGAACAGGATGTAATTGTCAGCCTTTTATTTTGATGAGTAAAGATATTAAAAAAGCAAGCAATGCCATCTATTATTACTATTATTTTTACAAAAGAACATTTTAGCATTGACCATATATTAAGGACATAATCTCAGGATAAAGAATAGTCCTTTATGAGAAAAGACATTTCATGACCTTATATTGACATTTTTTGCTATGGACTGGTGAAAATTTCGTCATGGATCAGTACTTGTCTACAGACTGGTGTCTGAGAACCACTGATATATGGCATAACAAAATATTAATGTGGAGCTGTTGGTGAGGGTTACACTGCATAGATATCTCAAGTGTTTTCTTGGGGAGCATTCTCATTCCACCTGTACTAAAAGGGATCATTACTCTTGATAATGGCCAACTGTTTTTCAGTGCGCTGCAATCATGCTGTCATCTGTCTTACTTTTTTAGCAGTAAAATTTAGAGCATAGAAAGAAAGCTAAATTGTCATGATAGGAAATGTTTTATGCTATGATTTAATTATAGTTTAGTTCACTTATAAGCATAGTTATGTTTCTATAGTCCTATAGCCATAGTATTGACAAGGATAATTTACTTAGTTCTTTTCTTATAGTCATAGTATCAATTAGGATAATATACTTAGTTTTTGGTAGATTAAAGCACTTGCAGGTGATTTCATTTTGATCTTTCACAATATTCATTTTTTTCAGAGACGATTTTCAGATTTGGGAATTCAGATGCAAATAACACCAAATAATTTCCTGATAGAATATAAACTCCTTGAGGACAGTCACATTTTCACTTACGTAGTGTGAGGACTTAAAACAGTGTCTGGCATATCATAGGATCTTATTAAATTTTACTAAATGAATAAATAGCAAACAGTGAATAAACTCATAATCTTTCCAAGTTTAGCTATTGCCTGGTCAGGGCTTCTAGTTCAACATGTTGAATGGAATCCCACATTCACTTTTGCCTCCTTCTGAAACTGCAGTAAAGTGACATTAATGAATCCACAAAGAAGTAGGGGGGAGAAAACAGCAAAAATAAAGTGTTAAAAGTGGGAACCAGCTAGGTGTGGTGGTTCATGCCTGTAATCCCAGCACTTTGGTAGGTGAGACCTGAGGATTGCTTGAGCCCAGGGGTTCAAAACCAGCCTGGGCAAAACTTGGCAAGACCTCTTCTCTACAATTGGGAAAAAAAATTAGCCAGTATGGTGGTACTTACCTGTGGTTCCAGCTACATGGAAGGCTGAGGTGGAAGGATCACCTGAGCTCAGCAGGTCGAGGCTGTGGTGGCTGTGAGTATATACCACTGTACTTCGGCCTGGGCGACAGAGTGAGACTGTGACTAAAAAAAACAAAAAAGGGAACCAGATGTACAATTGGTAGTTTACTTAGCACAAGGAAAAACGTAGAAACCTAAGTCAAAAATGCAGAAATGGTCGGGAATTGCAAGCATCATGGGTCCCTAGAAGAAGAGTATGAATTTAAGGCAAAAACTAGAATATCAATATAAGGAGCCACTGCAACCCCAGATTTTCTTTCCCACCCTGTACAAACAGACACTACCCTTCTCCTACTTGATAGAAGATTGGAGATTTATGTTGGAGAGTTTGAGGGATGGCTAAGGTTGAGGGGAAAACTAATGGTTTGCTGGAGCCAGCTTGTACCTGTGAGAGCTGGTTGTGAGATACGAAGGAATTTTGTGAGTTGGTTGTTAAACCAATGGTAGTTTGAAATTGACCATGACAGGAATATTTAATACTAATGAAAATGGCAGTGTTACAAATCTGGCTTTTTTTTTCTTTTGAGAGCCAGTTCACCAGTATACTACTAGGAGTATGATATTGAGTATGATATTACAGGTTGGAAAGTCCCAACCCAATTGGATCATTTACAAAGAAGCTAACCTGATTCTTATCTTAGGCTGCAGAGTAGAAGATTTCTTTCAGGTGGAACTAACCTGCCCAAGAGAAAAGGCTGTAGCTGCTATAGTTCAGCTTTTCCAGTGAAATAGCTCAGTCAGAGCGACCTGCTGCAAAATACACGATTTGACAAAACTTTCAACCCATATTTTAATACCCTCTTCATAAATATATATAGATACTTAAGAATTACTGGATATTTGAAGCCATTTTCCAATATACATAGATATATACATTGGACAATCTTCCAATATGTCCAATGAAAAAACCCTGTAGAAAGTAAAAAAGATATATTTAGTTAAAGGAAATATATTAATCTACAAAACAAGAATTATGAGTCTGTAAAGAAACACTCATAGAATAAAAGAGAGCCCTTAATAAATACACCATAAAAAGGTCAATGGAAAGGTTGGAAGATAATGTTGTGATAGTCTTCTGGAAGGTAGAACCAAAAGACAAAAAGATGGAAAATAGGAGAGAAAGAAAATTAGAGGGTCAGTTCCAGATGTCTGGTGAGTTTCAGAGAGAAAACAGAGGAAATGGAGAGAGAAGAAATTACAAAGAAAGAATGCAAAAAGTTACCTATGCCTGAAGGATGTGAGTCTGTCTTCCCTGATGCCAACGCATGTCATCATTAAATTTTGTACTGCACATCAAGAGAAGATTCTAAAACCCTGTAGAAGAAAAGGACACATACAAGGATTAAGAATGAGAATGGAAACATCATGCTCCAGACTCTCAGTGGCAACACTGGAACACAGAAGACCGTGGAACGATCCCTTCTGAAGTAGGGGAAACATTGACTTCCAATACTAGCCAAACAAATTGCCAAGTATTGGCAGAATTAAGACATTTTCAGATATACAGGGTCACAAAAAAATTTGCCATCTGTGTCTCCTTTATCAATAAGTAATAGAATACTTACTCTACGAAGACAAGGGGTAAAAACAGGAAAGAGAAAACTACGGGATCTGGGAAACAGGAGACCCATGACAGGAGAGAGAAGGGAATTCTCAGAGATCACCTGATTTGTGCAGCAGACAGAGAGCAGTAGGTCAACATTGTAATGGAAGGATGTCTCCAAAACACTGAAACTGATAGAAAATGGTTCATAGCCGGGCTTGGTGGCTCAGCCTGTAATCCCGTGCTTTGGGAGGCTGAGGTGAGTGGACTGCCTGAGCCTGCGGGTTCGAGACCCGTCTGGGCAGCGAGACCTCAT